TTGTCATTACAGTGAAATGCTAATTAGCAGAATGCATTGCAAAGAATGAGTAAACTGCAGTATAATATACCATGTGGGAATGCTAAATTATGCTCTAACATTAATGATGTGCACTTTAACACTGTTAAGTTTAACATGATAAACCCACTTTAGACAGTATGAAATGTAACACACCAAACAGCTAGGCTTACAACTATGGAACATGAAGAGCATTTTGATTGACTATTACAAGCTGAGAAAACGTCAGATAACCATGTCAATGCAATTGACGTTATAACACCTGATGAATAGATCTAATATTTACACATTTGCCCGAGGAGGAATGATGGGGGTAGTTACATTACTATTTTCCATAACAACTAGGCCCTTCCATAACATTATCTGACCACGTTAACAGATAGACAGCGGTTTTACTCCAATTAATATCATGACAAGCTGATTTCCACTGGACTAATACGGTTATAATTGTATTTTAAATCAGTAATGGTCTGTGTTGTAAGGTCTTCCACTAATACCTTTATACCCAATCTATTGAGTATAGTTCTACAATTACCCTGCCCGCTTCTGACGTAAACGTGAAACTTCGTCAGCACGCACGTCCAAGTCAGGATTTACGTCGGTTCCGGGAGACGCGTTGGCAGGTCACTTCAGTATCATCCGACTGCAATGTAGGAGAGGGGGTGTGTGTGTTTATCTTAACGCCGGTTTGAAAGGGACCTAGTCAAAGGAGAAGACACTTGAACACCGACTTGACATGAGCAGGTAATTACACCGTTAAAATGGTCAGTTTTGATATGTTTAGTTCTTGACCCGTGAGGGTAATGAGCTAACTTCGTGCTCGCTTGTGGCTCTTGTTTGATGACAGACCCGAGTTCGGTTTAATTGTCGATAGTTTTCATCTTAGATTTCTTAGATTTTTGCTGGAAATAACACCAGTTTTTGTTTTTTATATTCTGTAGTATTTTCTCTTAAAATGATAAAACATACACGTTAGTTTTGATTAAGCTATGCTTCTGTTGTGTCTGTCATACCACGCAGTATCAGATACGAAGACATTAATAGCAGCGTTAAAATGAACAACCTATAGTTAAATCACAGCCTGCGTCTGTTCTGCTAAATCTGGCCTAAAACATGTGGCTTTGTTCATTATTGTTTTTGTGAAAATATGTAGAGTTATATTGGTTGTACATGATCAGCCAGATATTTAAGGTGAATGTCTGTTATCCTTACAGTTACGCCTCTTATTGCTGGTACTTGACGTTCGCTTTCTTCCCTTTAATTCATCATATTGAGCTTCTAGTACGTGTCTAGCAAATCTGCATGTTCTCCTCCAGCTAATCCATTAACACAAGGGCCCAAAAATATGGGCCCAGGTCAGGGGAGCACTTCCACCACACCCTGCAAAGCAGTATGACTGATGATTATTCAAATTAGAGTAAACCAAATAATACTGAAAAAGCATATCTCTTATATTCCTCGCCTCTTTCTTAGGCTCTAAATATAAAAATATGACTTCATCAGTGTCAGCACTTCAGATCTTACTAAGTGCCTTGTCATCTGCAGCGAAAAGAGGATGTAGAGTCAAGAATTTGAGGAAGGAAAGTCTCTTCACTCCTACCTTCCCTTGTCTGCAATTTCTAGATGGCTCCACAGCCAGTGGAGTGTCGCCTTCACTACAGTAGTCTGCTGGCTGTGGGCCCAGCCTGTCCTGGTATTGTTACAACGGACAAATACATCAGGGGCCAAGCTGACACCATTGTAAAGGATGCTGAAATAAGAGATAACAGGATCTGTCTTGTTCTTGACTCATTACGTGATGTATTATGTTGCCCATCTGTTCTAAATATGTGAATTAGCTTTGGCAGGGTATTTATATGTATGTTTTTTTTTATCATTTATCCTACCATTGGTTAGTAAAAAATAGCCAGGTTTGGTTTTTTTGCCTTTGGTCTGAATCACCATGGAGGCAATTTTCTGTCACTCATACCTTTTGAAGATCCTCAGGGATCAATAGTGAGCACTAGGTCACATCGGACCATTCAGCATCACAATAAATAGAGGTCTGCTATGTTTGCTATATGACCCAGAGATTATGGTCTTCAATTATAAGAAATAATTTTGAGTGGTTTCCCTGGAGAAATTTTAAAGTTCTTCATGGGCATATGAGATGGCAAAATATTCCATCAGTAGCAGCTTGGGAACATTTCCCTCTTTCTGTCCTTACAGCAATTTGTTCTCCAGTTTCTGTCATGATTTCCATAGTAGTGTGCTGACACGTGACAGGCCTGTAGCCAGTAAATTTGTTGATGATGTCATATCAGAGGAATTTTTAAAGGGAAGAGAAGGCAGTCTATCCACGGGAGTCTAGACTATCCTCACACCGAAAATAATCACATCATCTGCCTTAGCTAAGACAAATCCAGGTTAGTTTGCTAAAAATATAATATGCCATGTACTGATATAACCACCTTTTACACTGATAAAATTCTCCAAACATTATAGCCTTAAACTACTACATGCTTGTTTGACCCTCAGTCCAGCTGAGCTATCTGCAGGAAATCCTTAGATCTCAGGGCTTATTATAAATATTCCTGGAACTTCAGCAGTGGTAGTGCTAGAGTTGTAGCTGCATCCCTCTTCCCACACAGAACAAACACAGCAGCTCTTTACAGATGTGCTTAATGATTTCTTAAAATTTTCCTTGTGGGTCCACATAGATCAGAGTAATGCAGCATGAACAGCTCCTCAGAAAAGAGGAACAACAATCTAGTAACCATCTGATAATTCTGTCAATAGGACGGAAGATGGAAAAACTTGGTGAGAACATCAGAACTAGGCTACAGATGTGATCTACAGTATCTGGCATTAGCCAAACGTATGGTAATTAGCGTGGATTGTTCTTAATACTATATACTAATACTTAATACTAAAATACTATTACCCCATTTTTGTGTATTGTGGCTTTAATGCTTTGTTGCCTTTATGTAACTTTTTATTTTAAGACTAAATGTTCTTTCTGGCTTTTGACTCCTTACCTGTCTCCAAAGGAGAGCTGCACAAGAATTCCTAGACTGTCTGTTTATGGATAAATGGCAAATAAAAATCTTGACTTGACTTAATGAATTTGTCATGTTGACATCACACGAGCTGGACTGTAACAAGGTTAGAAATGTAATGATTTCATGAGGCCCTCTTTTACTATGCACTGTGGACATGAATGAGGCTGTTCATGCTAGACAGGCTTTCCATGTTGATTATTCATTTGGTTTATCAAATTTAAAGTTTCTGAGGAGAGAGGGAAATTTACATGGCGATATAGCCAGGTCAATGTTCTTGTCACTTTCAAGTAAAGGGAGATTTGTTCTGTTATCTCCTCTAGTGAGGACTGAGGAAAGTATGTAATCTTGAGTCATCCGGTGTTTTCAGCTCTGAGATTAGAAGGGAATGCACCGTGCCTGATTCTACATGCTAAAGGATGCATGGAGTCAAAGTGGTAACCTTGAAATACTTAGTCTGGTTTTAACCTCATGGCATTAGCCTTGCATTGTTTTTACACCTACTTCAAGCTAAAACTTGATTTATGGCTCCGCGTTAAATCTACGCCGTACCTACCGCGTAGGTAAAGGTGTAGCCTCGTACCCTACGCCATAGCCTGCCTTGCACCTCCCCAGAAATGTAACTGCACGTCACAAGGTCGCAGACAACAACTGTGGTTGTTTGCAACGTATTTCCTCTTTCGTGTGTCTCAGTAGCTGGACAAAAGTAACTGCTGTTTAGCATCTATTAGCTTTAACTCCAACTGACCCACTCACTTTCAGTCGCCATAGTTTGTAAGTGGCGAAGAAACGCAGCGCAGTGGCACAGACACACATCGCCACCTAGCGTTGTGGTGGTGTAATTGCAGGGCGACACTGACACCAGGCACAAGTATAAATTCTCACAACGGCAGACCACTTATTTAGTCTGCTCCGTAGGCTCTGTGGTGTTTAAACGCAGAACCATAAATCAGGCTTAATGGAAATGGACGAGAGGCTAATGTAAATAATTCTTTCATTCTCAGGGCTCTCTGACATGGACACAGAGATGATTCCTAAATTTGCATCAAAAGATGAGGAAGTTGATTACTGGAAGTCGCAAGCACTTAAATATAAGAAAAGGTGAGTAGCATTATTTATTTCTCATTTGACAATACAACATGCCCACATTTCTTTGCTGTGTATAGGAAAGCTTTTTACTGAAGTTTAACATTTTGTTAAGATCAGTGCTCTCAGCTCTTTGTATATGGAGAGTATTTCTATTCGCTGGGTTATGTCACAATGTGTCAGTTTGTTTTGTGATCCCTTCCCAAAAAAAAAAAAATCACCAGAGCAAACTATCAGATGTGAACAACCCCTCCATATGAAATAAACACACTACAGAAACACTCATGGCAGTGAGATAACTTTGTTTAGAAAAGCTGCTCACTCTTTCATAATAGGCAGATGCTAATTTGCTGAATGAGTGGTTTTTGTCTGGAGTTGGGAAAGATGTGATTGCCTCATGTTTTTGGTATCTTCAACCAAATGTGTTTTGTGGCTGTGCCTCTATTTAAAGTTTCAGCACAGAAAGGCTGCGGTTAGCCATGTAAGGCAACTGATCAGAAGTCGTTAAGCAATCACTGCTCACAAACAGCAGAGGAAATGATCACACCTTTGATTTCTTAGGCCGAGACCACAGCCTGCAGCGGGATGGGCAGCATTGTGTTGTTTGTGGGGCTTGGGGGCATTGTTCTCTCAAAGGAAGTGTAAAACTGCTCAGACCGGGTTAAAATTCCAGTGGTTTTCTAGGAAATTCCTGTAAAGGAAAATCTGTCAACCCATGGAAAAATAATTCTTAAGTATATATTTAGTCATGGCTTGTCTCACATTTTGCTAAATAAGTTTTCTCATGAATAACACAGTGAAGCCTTCACAAGGGTAACATGGGGTTTATTGAAAGTTATTTCCCTGAAGTGATATGTTCAACCTAGACCTTTTCTGTTTTGTAGTCATCTGTCTATCTGGGAAACCATGCAGTTATTGATCATCACTAAAAGAGTTAGGCTAACAATATGAATGTACTTTTTCTGGTTTCACAAATTTTAATGCCAATTTTCACACCTTCAGTTATTCATTGCTGTTCTGTGTCATACACATGAAGTCCTCATGATCATTTTAAGCCATGAAAAGTGTGAAGGAGGACAAGTCTGTGCTGTTAAACAGACGTTATAGGGTGCTGATGAAGCAGCCTCAGTGGAACTGATATGTGGGGAACAACCACTGCACAGCCGCTGATTTATGTAGAGTCAGCACTGCTCAGCATACACACACACACACACCCTGTTTCTTAGCTCATATCCTCATCCTGTTTCTTTGCCCTCTCATTTTGTCTTCACCCCTGTTCTCTGAACCCCATCCACAGCTGATGACACATGGCACTTCTGCTTCTCAATGACCTACTGTCTCAGTTCAGATGTATATATAGAATGCTTGACAGTGCTGGGTCACACACACCATTGCCTGTTTGGCAGAGGCAGGATTGAAGGTTCAAAATCCACAAATCTCTGAATGGCTTTTTACGCAGGTTTATTTCTGGTAAATGGAGCTAAAGCCACTAGAACACGTGAGCCTAGCTCATCTTATCGAACAAAAACCAGTTTTCTAGAGCTCATGGCTACATTCATTCATTCATTCAGTCAGTCAGCTCTACAGAATTGAATGGTGACTGGTGAACAGGCAGTTCATTGACAATAGCTGCTTGTTTTTCTTGGCTCTGTGTGTGTGTGCACCATCCAGTTGTCATGATGCACAGGAGGAGCTGCAGGAGTTTCAAGAGGGGAGCCGTGAACTGGAGGCTGAGTTGGAGGCACAGCTCAGCCAGGCTGAACACCGCCTTCGAGACCTACCAACTGAAAACGAGAGACTGAAGAATGAAGTGGCCAACCTCAAGGTAGCGCTGCCTGGTGACGTTCTGTGTAGCTTATTTTGAAAATAGACTGTCATTTATGAGCTGTGGGTTAGGACGCTAATGAAGTCATCTGTGGTTACTTAAGAGGTTATCTGATTTCTGTTGGATCCTGGGGACTAGGACCAGTGTCTTAATTTGTGTGGTAGTTGTTAATAGGGCATGCTCTTAGGTCATCCTCCAGCCCTCCTTAATTGGATGCCAGGACAGAAAGGAAGAAAATAGAAAACTGCGAGGACAAGCTTGGTTTTTAATCACAGCAGGCCTGAACACTGAGTGTGCTCCTCTGGTGTCTGTTAACACTGTTGCACAACTTATCATATTGTATATACACCAAAGAACTTACCCTAGCTACAGTGCACATGGCAAAAAAAACACTGTGACATTTCACCCAGTCCAGCATATGAGCATGCGCGCAGCAGCTAGCGTTCAAAACAAACTGTGTATGAATGAAGCACAGAGAACAGGAATCATGCTTTCCTGTCTTTGTGCCACTGGCATGTAGTCATACCACTGACAGAACTGTGAAGCACCCCAGGGCAAATGAGCCTCAGGGCTTCCACAGGGAACAAAGGACCATTTTGGAAGTGAAATAATGAAGAACATCTTGATTTGCTGTCTTGTGATTCTCTTGGTTTCCCTTACTGTTGTTAATGATTGTTGTAGTGTACATAACAAAACAAGTGGTACGTTTGTATTACATGCCTTAGTGAAAAGAAATTCAAATGGAAGCTTCCCTGGAACAGTGGGTCTCTCTGAAGTCCTTGTTCCTCTATAGTACACTCACAGAAACACTCTCTTCTCCTTTTTACTCTGTCTCTAAGGACAAGCTGGAGCAGCAGTACTCTCAGAGTTACAAACAGATCTCCATGCTAGAGGATGATCTGGGCCAGACACGGAGCATCAAGGAGCAGCTAAACAAATACGTCAGGGAGCTTGAGCAGGCAAACGATGACCTGGAGCGGGCCAAAAGGTCAGGCTGACACAGTCCATTGTGGCTGTTATCAGTTGTAATACAATGCAACAACAAGCATCTCTTGTCATTATTTTGAAATCAGACTAAAGCTTAGAATTATGTATTTAGATTTGTTGGATTTGTAACATTTTGATGGTTTTAATGTAGTTCCTCTTATTTACTTGTTGGTAGGCTGTCAGGGTTTGGAGACTATAAACAACTGTTATTGTGAAGACTTTTTCAAAATAACATTCTCTATCTGCAGGGCTACAATAGTGTCTCTTGAAGACTTTGAGGGCCGTTTAAACCAGGCCATTGAGAGAAATGCCTTCCTAGAGAGTGAGCTGGATGAGAAGGAGTCTCTGCTAGTATCAGTGCAGCGACTAAAAGATGAAGCACGAGGTAAACACAAGGCACAGAAGAATGCATTCTTTCCTTTTCTGGGAGTGTGTCATCTGTGGAAGTGTTAAGGGATGAGTATTTAAAAGTTGGACTTTGTCTTCTGCAGACCTGAGACAGGAGCTGGCAGTACGTGAGCGGACTACAGACAGGATGTCAGAACCCAGCTCACCTACCTTAGACATCGACAAGATAGATTCAGCAGTTCAGGCCTCTTTATCCCTTCCAGCCACACCTGTGGGAAAAAGCTTAGAGCATGCCTTCATCAGCCAAAAAGGTCAGTATTGATTTCACTATAATATTTTCACACTGGGCATAGAAAAATTTATTGTTGTACTAATATTGGCTTGTACAATCTAGCCCTGATCAGTGGCTGTGGCAGCTCATCCCTCACTCCTTCTGCTAGAATCTCAGCTCTTAACATTGTTGGTGATCTGCTGAGGAAAGTTGGGGTAGGTATTATTCCTTTAAAAACTACATTAATGCATGTTTTGTCATTTTGGAGGCAGCGTTGTTGCTTTATGTATTTATTTTGCATTAAATTGCTTTAATATTCTGATTGAGCTGCAGAACTTTGAGCATATGAAACAGAATAAACAGAAAAGTGCTAATGACGAGGCTAAATACAGCTTGTTTCCTGCTTTGTCACTAGGCTCTGGAGACCAAACTTGCTGCCTGTAGGAACTTTGCCAAAGACCAAGCAGCAAGAAAAAAGTACTCCACAGACAACGGCATACTCAACAGCAGTGCCACCAAGTTCTCTCACTCTCTACATACCACTTACTTCGACAAAACGTGAGTCTTCAGCAATTTTGTTCCTTTGCTACTTCTCAGCTTGTTAATGCAAATTGTTATGCATTTGCTAATATTATACATACCGTTGGCAAATGTAGGACTGTTAATGGATTGGACCCCAGTTCATTAACCTCAGTGGCATCATCCAGAGCTGTGTCTCCCCCAGGCATGCTGCCTCTGAGTGTGTGAGACGTTCCCATGGCACACAGGCCTCTACTGAAACTCCACCCAACACAGTGTGGGAACAGAAAGGACACTTGAAAGACCATTACCTTGTGCGATACGTGTGTGTGTGTGTGTGTGTGTGTGTGTGTGTGAGTGAGAGAGAGAGAGAGTTGGAAAGAAAGAATGATGTGTGAAAGAGAGCCTTGACTGTACAACGGAACTTGCCTCCAGTTTGCAGCTCTAAATGCATCTGTGATGAGGTGCACGGTAATTTGTGCATAGGTTCCTATCACACACTTGGATGTGCCTAAAGCTGTGCTGTACTGTGCTGGTATGAATGTCGTTTGTTTGAATGGCAGCTCAGAAGTGGCACCGTTACGATATTCTTAGTTCTGGTTTTCATCTGAAAACTACTATTCTGACAAAAGGTCCTTCACAGACCACAGCTTCATCTTGACCCTTTTTCCTGCATTTTCACTTAAGATTGCATAGTTAAACTAATTTCAGTTTAGAATGTGCTATATTTATAAAGGGATATGTTCATATTAAAAGTTTCACAGTATGCTTTAAAATGCAGTATTTCCTATTTAGCGTTTTCCTGCATGTGTGCGGATGTAATGTGGGGTTGGGGAGGTATAGGTGGACCCCACATTCATGACTGATGTGAATGTTGTTCATTTAGAGCTTGTTGCTGGCTACATGCTCCATTTAAAATTTGGAAGAAGTCTCCCTGTTAGCTAAATGTCGGACGTATCAGCCGGTTCTGTCCTCTAGGTTAAAGCTGCACTAAAACAAACTACACCTCACAGGTTTTGTTGCAGTGCAAGTTTCCCCCATGTGGACATCATTGACATTTCAGGTAAACAGTTTTGCTGTTTTAAATGTTTTTTTAAAGTTTTCTTGCGACAGGCTTATTTACCTCACTCTGATGGTGGATCTGTAATACGAGTAGGTGAATTTGGTTTTATAGAAGTCCAACTCACAAAAGGATGCTCAAAGCAAAACAAACCTGACTCAAGGATCCTTCTTTTGCAAATGTACGTGACTTATTGGTTCACTGTGGCCTTTTGTGTCATGCAGCACATTTGCCAACCATCTGTTACTGTGGGAACCTGATGTTAATTTGATTTTTGGCAGGTTGCATAGTGGTAGTGCATTCGTTTTACATCTAAGAAATGTGTCTAAGACCATTTTGTTCATGTATTTCTCCCTATCATATATCTTTGTCACCACCTAGAGATTTGTAGTGTTATCTAACAAAGAGAGGTCTTTCTGGGCACCCTGAGCCTGATCCTTAACTGTGTTCTACAGTCAGTGTATGTAGCTTGTAAGGATGGTAAATTTGCCTACCACATTTGTACATACTGGCACGTGGCATTAAGGTCCTATTTATTAAAGATTCTGTATGGCATGTGTTCAAATAAATGTTATTGGTTAAAACCATTGTATTACATCACATTTATTAAAATTGTTTAAGTAAATAAAGACTGATATGGCAAAGACACTGTGCACTTGTCTTTATTTGGTCAAAATTCATAGTGCAGGATCCACTTATGGGACATTCTCTGAAGCTTTCGGGCCCATTTTGTCGCTGTCATCAGTACATCTGGTGTTAAGATTTTTTTGTCAACCAAAGCTAATTACCAAAATAAAAGATGGGAGTCCATTGCTAAGGTCAGTTAACAGCAGCTGTTATTTATATATAAAAGGTTTAAATAGTGAAAAGTAGGGAGGGAATATGTACTGATATTCCAGCCGTCATTCAGATATATAGTTTAGATTTCGCTCTTGGTACCAAACCCTCCCCTGCCAGACGTCACCAGCAGATGCAAAGCCCATCAGTCCACAAATTAAAGTCCCAGTTTCTTCTCCATATCCTGCTTTAGTGTCAACTTCTTGATCTAGAAAAAGACAGAGGAGGATCAGTGTAAGTTTTAGTTTCATTTGATCTATCATAAGACATCTGGACTATATTGATGCTTTAGATGTGTTGGTATTAGACCAGAACTTACCTTTCTAGTAGCAGTCATGGGGTAGCTGTCTACAAAGATCACATAGTGTGGGATTTTGAACCGAGCAATCTTTAAAAAGAAATAATTTGATGGACGTATTTTAGGGCTGTGTTCGGAACTTTACTCTTTTTTTTTTTTTTTCTTACTATCATCTACTCTCACCTGGCTTTGGCAGAACGCTCTTATTTCCTCTGCACTGGAAGTTTGGCCTTCCTTCAGCCTGATGCAAGCACACACCTGCTCTCCCAGCCTCTCATCTTTGACTCCAACCACCTGGGAAACACAGAAAGAGATCACACAGAATTTAGATCTGCCACCAGGTGACTAATGTACCGTCTCCATGATATTTATATGAAATATATTCTCAATACTGTGCATTTACAACAACTAAATATAAGAGTTAACACATGCACCTTTCTACACTCCGACAAGCTTTCAGGTTGAAGGTGAATCCAAAACTATTTAAAGATTGCTTGCTGCCCTCCAGTGGTTTTGAATCTCACCTGCACTTCCTGCACTTTGGGATGTGTATAGAGAAATTGCTCAATCTCAGCAGGGTAGATGTTCTCCCCTCCACGGATGATCATGTCTTTAATGCGTCCTTCAATGCAGCAGTAACCCAGACTGTTTAGGCTGGCAATGTCACTGTGTGGAAGAAGATTTTATGTACAGCATTTCACTTATGGAGCATCAACCTCTGTTCTGCTAAGATGTCTCTGAATTTCATCTTTTAGAAAAGCATTCAGTATACACTGTACATAAAATATTCATATAAAATCAGCATCCATATTACCCAGTCCTGTACCAGCCTTCTTGAGAGATAACCTCCTTGGTTTTCTCTGGATCACCCCAGTACCCATGCATCACACAAGTTCCTCTGATCATCAGCTCCCCTGATACCCCCAGAGGGACTATCTGCCCACTAGTGGGGTCCACCACTTTAGCCTGTAGTTAAGACATAGAAGTACACACAGTAAGTCTTGTGGTGGCGATTGGATAAAGGTTTGTGTGAGTGAGAAGGTATACCTCAGTGTGATGCATGATGCACCCAGCAGTATTTATCTTCAGTTCCTCTTTGTCTTGTGGGAATCCTAGAAATGTAACAGGGCTATTCTCAGTGGTTCCATAACCTACCTGTTAAAACACGAGGTTGACATATTCTTTTAAGATGGAAAAGCTTCACTTACTAGTTTTAGTACTGAATTATTTGAAATGGTATAGGACACGTAATCCCTCACCGTTATCTCGCTCATATTCAGATCTGTTTTCAGTTTTCTCAGAATCTCAGGGGGGCATGGAGAACCTCCCATGAGCCCTACAAACATGGCAGCACAGACAACGATGCCTCCGAATGCTGACTCAACATCACACCAAGATCAGCACATATTAATATTAATCATGTTTTAGTCTTCAAGTTTCCTACCAATTTTAAGTGACGACAAATTATACTTGTGCAAGTCCGGCAGGCTAAGCATGTCGATGAACATTGTGGGAGTGCCATACATGACGTTGCACCTTGAGTAAGAAAGAATGGGACAATGGTCCATCAGTGTACATATTGTGTAAATATTATTTTACAATAACAGGAAGTCATAGCAGTGCTGCAGAGGATGATGTACTTTTCACTGTGAATGGCCTCTACGTTGGCACGGGCGCTGTAACCAGGGGAAGGGAAGACCAGTGTAATACCATGCACTGCCATACTAATCCCTGCAATCACGGAGCCAAAGCAGTGGTACAGTGGTACGGACACACACACTCGCACCTGAGGCTGATGGGAACATAGACAAGATTCATCACATTTCAGTGTTTGTCTTTTCTTTAAATCAAGAGACAGATATGGACTTACTCTTGATCGATAACCCATTCGGAGGCCCATAAAATAGGCATTATTTACTATATTGTGATGGGAAAGAG